TTAGTCAAGATTGACAAGGTTTTTCATAATGAAATGCACACAGACCTTCCATCCAAACTTAACTTAATGTTAATAAAAAGGGAAATATTATTATTATTATTATTATTATCAGATATAAATTCACTCACAAATCTCCTCACATCCAAATTAACTTTTAAAAAAATGGGTATTAAAATTATCGGATTTGGTAAATCACCCATTACTCTTAGAGTAATTCTTACCCTTCAAGAGTTAGGTCTAGAACATGAATTTGAAGAAGCTGTTTACAATGAAATGAAATCACCTGAATTTCATACCACAAAAAATCCATTGTAAATAATCTTTATTATTATTAAAGTTTCTCGTGTTAATGATTTCTTCAAAAATAAATTAACTATTATCATTTATCATTGTTATATTTAATAAAGGGAAAGTCCCAGTAATGATTGATGACGGTTTTACACTTTATGAATCACGTGCAATCTGCCATTATCTTGTAAAAAAATACCAAGGAACCAAGAATTCTACAATTTTGATTCCAAAAGATATACAAAAGGCCACTTTGGTTGAACAATACTTATCGGTTGAAAGTTTATATTTTGAAATACAACTATTAATTTTGAAGAAATTGTTGCTGTAAAATATATGGGTAAAGAAGCTAATGCTGAAAAGGTCAAAGAAGCAAAAGAAAAACTTGAACAGACATTGGATGTCTATGAAAAATTTCTCAAGGGAAAAGATTATTTGACTGGTGAATATTCTTTAGCCGATATTATCTATGTGCCTAATCTCTTTGCTAATATTCATAAAACTAGTGTTAAAGATATATATTATGATACTAAAAGACCCAATGTTATTAAATGGGTGAAAAATCTTCTCGAAACACCTACTTGGAAACAAATAGCAGCAAATCTTAATTCCAATTAATGTATTTTTCTTTAACCTAGAATCTAATTGATATTAAAATTAACATTTTTATTTTGAAAAAAAGAAATATTAAGTTGTTTCACTAACTCGACCAAATTTGATCAGTCAATCATTTAAAATTCATTGCATTTTTTTAAATTTTATTTTAAAAAAAAAATTTATTATCACTACCACTGCTTTCTTCTTCACCAATTTCTATACTAATTGTTTTGCCATTATCATCACTTTTATCATTTTTGCTTCCCACATTTCCATCACCATCAATTATAATATCCATATTATCATTGTTGGTATTTTTGTACATTGTATTTTGTAATTTAAAACATATTCAGGTTTCTCTTTTTATTGTGTGTAAAGGAAAAGTGGTCCAAGTCCTTTTAAAAGCATGCTGGTTGAATAGGAGCCGAAATTATCAATTCTACCCAATTTTTGATTTTTGTCAATAACAATAAATTGGTAAAAATTAAAAATTCTTTTGCCATGATTTGAAAAAAAATCATGTTTTTTTTTCATACTTGACATTGTCACACATGTCATCATACATATGAACATGAATATCAAAAGGTGCTAAACCATAATAGCAGGTATATCAGTAGTTAGAACAGGCTTATCACATGGTTGTTACATGGTTATCAAAAAAACCTATGCTGACAGCAAAGTATATATTTGATTCATTTTATTATTAAGCATGCCCTTCAACAATAATAAACACAGTTGTAGTATAATATAGTTGAAAGGAAGCTAATTCTTTTAAAAAAATTCTAGACAAATTATTAAGTAGGATATCAAGAATTTTGAAAGTACTGACTTATGGTGCTTGTCTATCAAACTTAGACCTCTTAGGATTTTAAAAAAATAAAACAAGCACAAAAACAATATTTAAGGTTTTTTTTTCATTGTTTTTTGAAATAGCATTCCATGTGCAATTTAATACAATAAATAAATATCCCAATTGGGAAATGGCAATGCTATGCTCAAAAAAAGAGAAGACGTTCCCATCGCCATTCTTTTCTCCGGGAGCTGTAGCATTCAAAATTTAACTATTTGTAATAAAATTCTGGTACAAGATAAATAGTTCAGTAGTATCAGAAATGAGAGACTTGCAACATCAAATTAAAAAAAAATAAAATGTTTCTCTCTAATATACAGTGTATAACAAAAAAAAAAATGGAATTGAAAAATTAGGGGGAAAGCCCCAGTAATGATTGATGACGCGTCATCTTGTAAACAAATATCAAGGAACCAAGAATTCTATAGTACACGCCACAATAACCCATCAAATAAAAATTGACCAACTTTAAAACCTAAAAAGAAAATATTGCTTATCAAAAAATTATTGAGACAATATTTGATAGCTTTTGACTAGTTCTACAATCTATTGTTGAGACAATTAAAACATAATTATTAATTCAGGAGTTATAAGCTTTTGAAAATCATGTAATTTTTATAAAATTTTCCAAATTTGAAACATGTAATTAAAAAAAAAAAAAATTTCACGCATTTTTTTTTTTAAGTCAATAAATCTTGATAATAATAATTGCATTGGATTTATGAATATTAAATAATCCCATTCAAATTTTTTTGTTTAAAGTTTCTCTTGAAGGACCTTTGATTTGTTGTGCTAGACATATCTTGGCAACCCGAGATGATTTTAAAGACCAAAAACCCTTACTTGAAGAAAGAAGACATAAAGTCATCTTATATCCAAAATTTCACTGTGAGCTTAACTACATTGAAATATATTTGGGGCTTCCAAATAATATGTTAGACAACATTATAATTACACATGGAAAGGTCTTCAAGAGAATGCAATGCTTTTGATTCTATATCACTGAAACAAAATTAGAAAGTATGTGGGTGAGAGCCTCAAGATTTATGTATTGTTACAGAAAAGGATTAACAGTACTACAGGTTGAATATATTGTAAAAAAATATAAGTCACATAGAAGGATTCCAGACAATGTGATAGATGAAATAGATGAATTGGGGCAGACCAGACAAAGTGAACATTGGTGTTACCAAAAATTTCATAACTTTCTAATTATTCAATAACTTCCATACAAAATAATTGAAGTGATCAATCCAAGAACATAAGGTCACATACTTGGGTTCACTTTTATTGTAACCAATTTTGGTTTAGTTTGGTTTGTCAAATTTGGCTTCCCTGATTTTTGAATTTTGACTATATTAATGTATATATATAATATATCATTTTGGTTTTTTTACTTAGTTAACTCTTGAATAATTTTCTTTCACTTTGACTTAATGATTGTCTATTTTTTATTTTGTTCATTTACGTCATATTATATATATATATATATTTGTTACTTTTTGCTACTTTGTATAAGAGTTTTTGACCAAGTTGAAAATTCATGCAATAATTGAATTGGTTTGAACAATAACAAATAATAATAAAAAATGACATTAAAAACATAAAAATCCTTTTTATTACCCATTGAAAGCTGTTGCGAAATTCAACCAAATTAAACACTATTTTTTCGTTATATTTTTTTACGAGTGGTTTTACTTCGTAAATAAATTTATTTCTAGGCGAAATAAATTTTTGCCTGTAAATATATACATCTTTAAACTTCCTAGGGGATGCCTTAGTGAAGATAACTGTACAGATCCAAAAATATATAGAAAAGCTAGTGACGTTTTTGTTTGGGCTTGTTGCCCAAAGCTTTATGTAAATCATAGAAGCAGTCTTTATAGGCTAAAGATGTATAAAAGTCTTCATGTTTTAAAGTCGGTAGGAGGCTGGTTTCTAGTGTAAACCATAAGATTTGATCATCTGTAAAAGGAAGTTATAACTCAAGTTGGCTGGTTTCATTAGAAAACTCTAATATTTGATCCAACCGCCACTGTGCGCTAATCAGCCTTGGATTGTATTTTAGTTATATGAGATAAGAGCTCCCGAAGTTATAGAAACGAGTTTGATATCCACGTTTTATTTTTTTTTTTTGTTCTTTGTTCTGATTAGTTTATTTATGTTAATGATTTTCAATATACATGATTATATATATCTATACATTTATATTAGAACAAAATAAAACTAACTCAGACCCGTATTTTAAACCGCGACCTACCACCACACATACAATATACATGGGGTGGTCCAGACCTAATGTCCCAGGAAAACCCCACAACTACCCTCCATACTCAATCCACGTTTTATTTATTTTTATACTTATAAACTTTTAACTTTATTCGGACACACGTGAAACGTACGGGTATTACCGCGGTACATTTTTCAATCTGCAGATTTAATTTTTCACAATATACTGTATTATTTATTTATTTTTATGGGTGTAGAAGAATAGAAACAGTTTCCAGATCTGATTTCTGCCAATATTGAAGATAACTTGAAACATTATTGCTAATTTCAGAGCTTGATTTCATGGCTTCACATTTATGTTGAATGTTTAAAATGAGGTCAATCATATCTTGAAGGTTTATTTTGAAGATTTTTATTAGTTACCGTAAATTAAAAAAAAGAATTAAAGTCAAATAAAAAAAACTTACTTTAAACCTCCAACAATGTTCTATCATGTTTTTTAAATTTTTAGATTCATTCCAACATTTTGGAATACTATAGGAAGTTACTTCCGAAAAACATCCAATTGCTTTCAAAAGTCAAGCAAAATTATGATTGACTAAATTTCTAACACCATGTAACTCCATTTTCTATACTAAATGCATAAATCACAAATTGGAATTCTGAGTATTTGGAGTGATATTTTTAAATGTGAAATTGAAATTAAGATTAAATTGTTAAAAAGTATAAAACATACCATTTGAAATTCCTCCATATACTCTTAGATTAATCATTAGACTAACAATTTCATCCGCCAAACAACTTGGTGCTTGAATAAAATGGTAAATCAAGTTATGATATGCATCTTTCAACTCACGACAAAGCTTAAATGTGTTTGATTCAAATTTTCTTTTACCTTTCATCCATGGACCACCTGCAAATTCACAAATAAAAACTTCCAATATACTTTCATTTATCCGAAATGTAAATTATAATCCACCAGATGTCCTCTTTTGGTTTGACCCTTTGATAAGGTATGTATTAGACTATTTAGATCAAATATAAAATTAGTCGGATTATTTAGATTCAGGTTTAAACAAATGTGTATTTCAATTCCAAAACCATACAATATTTTTATCATTATTTCTTCTAAAAGAAGCAAATAAGGTACGTTCTGCCCTAAAAATTATCATCAAGTTAGCACTTTATCGATGAAATTGTATCAGTTTTGTTTACATACCTATATTGTCTTGCTTTTGACTTTGTTTTGTTATTTAATGCAATTAACCAAGTTTTGGATCGTATTTACTAGACCCTCGACTTTCCATGTTCCTTGGTTAACTGAAACATCTTTATTTTCGTAATTCTTCATGTCCCATAACTGAATACTATAAATAAACTAGAGTAATGACGAGTGGTGGGCGATAACCACCACCATCCTTAAAACACTTACCCAGCAACATCAACAACGAATTCTTTTCTCATTTTTTTCAAATGACATGTTTATGAAATAAAAATAAAAATTATTTATCCTATTGGTTTTTTTTTTTGGGAGGACAGATGCGAATTTTTTTTTTTTTTGGAAAATTATTTTTTGACAGAGTCCAAGGTGACAAAACGTGAGTGTTGTTGTTTGGTTTGGTTTGGGTCTCCTAAAGAAACGTGTTAATCAGAGGTACTTTTTTTTATTTGTATTGATATTTTTATTTTAGCTTATAAATATTTAATTGTAATCAAAACGCGGAACAGATCTTGCTGGGTAATTACAAGATTTTCATTAATAATATGTTGCTTTGTGTAATCGTAATAATAATACTAATATTATATTATTATAATTACAAGATGTCAAGGCAAGCATTGACTGTTAAAAAAGAAATAATTTGATCTGCAACGTTTGATTATCAAAAATTTACAAGTGTTGAAACACGCATGCTACCTTGAACACATTACAGTCATTCTCACATGTTCCTCATGTACAAAAGGCTAATCTGACTAGTGTGCTCTGATGATACAATGATGTTGTTAAATTTTCAGGGGGGGCGTGGCTCTGGAGTTTACCAAAACTGCATCATCGTCAAGGATATTTTCACTAATTATAATCTTCCCTTACAGCACCAGACCAGAGAAAGCTGCTGGCACACTAGCCGAAAAGTTGCCTGCAACGATCCCACTTCTAGGGTAAGGATGGATCTGTGACCAAGCTGATGCAACTCTGGAGGAATATTAAGAGAATCTGCAGCTTGTTCAAGCACAGGAGGTCACAATCCAGAGCAGGGTTTGTGGCCCTGAAATTGCATTTGAACTCTGGGGAAAGTTGTAAAATAGTGTCTGTTTTGTATAATCATTTTCATAAATTCTCTGTTTCTCTGATACTAACCAATTTATAATTTTAGGTAGGGTACTGAACTGGGTTTTTGTAGCATAATGGACATTCATTTATCACATTGTGACTTTGATTTCATTGGCTAAATTTTACAATGATCACCATCACCCTCCAAAAAATCACACAAAATTCAAATTCATTGGCTTGAAGATTTTTACAAGAAACAAAATTTATAATTTTTATATATACAGTCAAAGCTTGTTAAATTCATATTTGATAAATTCATAATTGCGTAAATTCATAATTTTTTCAGGAACCAATGCCACTTATATTAAAATCCTATTCGATAATTTCATAATCATAATAAAATCTTGATAATCAACAAAGTCATACCTCCATTACTGTTTATTATATGCTATCATATAATAAATCTTGCTCTTTAATTTCACATCTTGTGTAACCATTGGAATATGGATTACATAACCATTAAAAATATTGACTATTTTACATAAGTAATAATTTGATTTTTTGGATAAACCATCAAGTCACATTATTTTAAGAACTTTATTAACCATTGAAAAAATGAATTCAAGCTTTCAAATTAAGCATAGAATTACAGATGATAATGAAGTTTTTAATTGATAAAAAAAGAACAAAAAATAACCTATCTTTTCTTGAAAAACATAGAATTTGCAAAGAGCTTTTAGTTAAACCAAAACCAACACAAGAAAAATTAGCAGCTAAGTATAATGTCACTCAATCAGCAATCTCTAAAATTTTTAAAAATAAGGATAAATATCTTGCTTTAGATTCAGAAACAACAGACTTATATAAAAAAAGAAATCATCAAGCTGCATTTCCTGAAATTGAAGAAGCAGTTGTTATTTGGTTCTCACATGCTCACATAAGTAACTTAACAGTAACTAATGATGTTCTTAAGAAAAAGGCATTGGACTTTAGAGATTTGCTTCAAATTAATAAGTTTACAGCATCTGATGGTTGGTTGCAAAAATTTAAAAAGAGATTTAATGTATGATCTTTTGTGAAATCAGAAGAAGGTCAGATGCACCACTTGATACATTAGAAGAAGAATTTGTTAAACTAAAAGATATCATTAGGCAATATGATTTAAACAATGTATTTAATGCAGATGAGATAGCATTGTATTGGGAACTTGAACCATCAAAAACATTAGCAACTGGACCTGTTGTTGGTACCAAGAAATCAAAAAATCGAGTTACTATAATGCTTACATGCAATGCATCAGGTAGTGTTAAACTTAAACCACTGTTTATCTATCGATTTAAAACTCCTTGACCACTTTGTGGCATTAATAAAGAAAGCTTACCAGTAAGTTATTACTGGAATTCTACTGCTTGGATGCACACAATGTCAAATTGGGTGTTTTGGGACAGAATTTGCTATATAGGAATATTACAATTCTAACGCTCTAGGACGTCAAATCCATTACTAGGGTTAGATTTTTATTTTTATGCATCATTCGAATGACGTTACGTTTGCATTTTTGTCGTCATTTTTGACCCCATTTTGGTTAGATTTTTTATTTACA